CAGGCTTGAGCCACCGCGCCCGGCCCCCGACTAAGTTTTATATTTTTAGTAGAGACGGAGTTTCACCATTTTGGCCAGGCTGATCCCGAACTTCTGACCTCAGGTGATCCGCCGGCCTTGACCTCCCAAAGTGTTGGGATTACAGGCATGAGTCACCACACCCGGCCAAGTAGAGTATGTATTGTTTTATTTTGGGTGGACCTCATGAGAGTCACCTATATCTTATATAACAATTAAAAATATTTACTTAATTCTAGTTTACGTTATAGATTATAGTATTATCTCTGCCTTTTTTTGTATCAGAGGAACATGCTCATACAGTATGCTTTATGTAAAATAATTATCTGTATTCCCAGTTAGACCACATGGGGGTCAGTGACCCACTTGAGGAGGCAGTCTGTCCATTCTCAGAGCTCAAACACCGTGCTGGGAGAACCACTGCTCTCTTCAGAGCTGTCAGACAGGGACCTTCAAGTCTACAGAAGTTTCTGCTGCCTTTTGTTCAGCTATGCCCTGCCCCTAGAGGTGCAGTCTACAGAGGCAGGCAGGCCTCCTAGAGCTGCTGTGGGTTCCACCCAGTTTGAGCTTCCTGGCCACTTTGTTTACCCACTCAAGCCTCAGCAATGGCGGACGCCCATCCATGTTTTAATCTTTATACCTATTTTTTGCTTTTTTATCTTTTTTTTTTTTAATCTTTAGAAAGGACACTAGAATTGGTCACTGTGTTGGTTTAGGTTGTCGGCAGCAATATTAGTTGAGTAAGTACCCCTCTCAGTTCACTTTCATTTAGATGGCTATTTTTCTCACTGTACTACAAGTGGATTAGAGTTTATTAAGCAGGGGAGTGGAGGAGATGTGGCACAAATAGAAGTATGTAACATTTGGCCCTGCGCGTTGGCTCACGCCTGTAATCCCAGCACTTTGGGAGTCCGAGGCGGGTGGATCACGAAGTCAGGAGATCCAGACCATCCTGGCTAACACGGTGAACCCCTTCTCTACTAAAAATACAAAAAATTAGCCGGGCGCTGTGGCGGGCACCTGTAGTCCCAGCTACTCAGGAGGCTGAGGCAGGAGAATGGCCTGAACCCGGGAGGCAGAGCTTGCAGTGAGCCGAGATTGCACCACTGCATTCCAGCCTGGGAGACAGAGCGAGACTCCCTCTTAAAAAAAAAAAAAAAAAAAAGTACGTAACAGTCAAACAGAATCTGGAATTTTTGAAAAAATCTGTCAGTTATGATTACACAAAGGCTTACTTTCTCCCCCAAGGACACAGGGCCTCTCAAAGGAGAGGAGGGAATAAGTCCCATGGTAGGGCCAGTGGTGCTCCTGGGTTTTGGAATGATCTCTGCGAAGCTTTCAAGGCCAGACTGGGCTCGGGGTCGAGACTTCATAGCAGTTGCAACTAGACCCAGCAAGATGGCTGCGACTGTGAAGCCCTGCGCGGAGATCCAGGTGTGAGCATCGTGAGTTGAGAGTGCTGGCTGTGGCCCTGGTGGAAGCAGTAGAGGCCCTAGGTGAGGGCGGCTGCCGTGCCCAGGCAACCTATGGGTACCCTCAGGTTCTTGCGTGTCTTGCGAAGGAACTTTTCCTTGAAACCCTCTGGATTGCTGTAAACAGTGAGGCTAAACCCCTCAATGAATGGGGACTTCCATGGTTCAAAGGAGGCCTCCAGAGTCACAGGGCCTGGAGTCACCTAGATGGCTATTTTTTATCACAAGCCAATATAGCTGCATTAACTGTTAACTCCGGATTTGCACAATGCATCTCTATTTTGACATCGGGGTTTTGGATTGTGCCTTTCTGACAGTCAAGGCCCTCTAAGTCCAAGGCATCATTTCCTCTGCCAATCCTCAGGGTCTAGTGATTTGCAAGTAAACATTCAAGGCCTCACAAGCACCCTAGAGTTCATGATGTGAAAATGAGCCGGGTGTGGTGGCGCGTAGCTGTAGTCCCAGATACTCGGGAGGCTGAGGCAGGAGAATCGCTTGAACCCAGGAGGCAGAGGTTGCGGTGAGCCGAGATCACGCCACTGCACTCCAGCCTAGGCGACAGAACAAGACTCCGTCTCAAAAACAAAAAGGATGCAGCTGTTGGCCTGTTACCCACCTACGACCTGGAAGCCCTCTCCCCTGTCCCACCTTTCCAGACTGAACCAATGTACATCTTACATGTATTGATTGATATGTCTCCCTAAAATGTTTAAAACCAAGCTGTGCCCCAACCACCTTGGGCACGTGTCATCAGGACCTCCTGAGGCTGGGTCACGGGCGAGTCTTTTACCTTGGCAAAATAAACTTTATAAATTGACTGAGACCTGACCGGGCATGGTGGCTCACACCTGTAACTCAGCATGGAAATAAAAAATCGTGAACCCCAAATATCTGAAGCAGATCTCAGTCAATTTATTTATTTATTTATTTTTGGAAGAGTCTCGCTCTGTAGCGCAGGCTGGAGTGCAGTGGTGCGATCTCGGCTCATTGCAACATCCGCCTCCTGAGTTCAAGTGATTCTACTACCTCAGCCTTTCGAGTAGCTGGGACTACAGGCACCAGTGACCATGCCCAGCTAATTTTTGTATTTTTTGTAGAACAAAAGTCTGGAACTCCTGGCCTCAAGTGATCCGTCCTCCTCAGCCTTCCAAAGTGCTGAGATGACAGGTGTGAGTGACCGTGCCTGGCCTCCAGATATCTTTTGAAATAAACTCCTTTATTGGTCTGGGTTCGGTGGC